GTGTAATGCCATATTTTTATAAATTCAACCCAATTTTTATTTAAGATATCGAATTATACTTCCTATAATGGTGATGATACGCGATTCAGCAAATTATTTGACTGTTTTATGTCGTGATTGAATGTCTCATATAATTAGCTTGAAATCCGTCTGACATGGAACAATTAAAAATGACTGACCACTAGTTCGTTTTTAAGGGAGCCACGTCACCTACACAAGAAGGTAACTATATGTGTATAATTCGTGCACAAATCATTCATTTCCGTGGTTACTTAAGTTTAATTCATGATGAAATCTTGATCCTATTTGTCTGCGTTATGGGATATACCCTCTTTTACAAATAGTCTCGTGGAACGTGAATTCATCTCAGAAGTAAATATAAAGATCTCCAAACTAATCATTGAATTAGCATGTTAAAAGAAAATATACAGCATGGAAATAAAGTATTATGTGAGTGTGGAATACATCGTCTTAAGGCAAGTTTTTCAAGACATTAAAATATTTAGGTTTATTAATTCATGGTATTCCCCAAAGAATAACATGGAGATGTCCAAGTTCCAGACATGTAACGATCTCTTATTGTAAACATTGACGTTGGACACTAAATTTAACAATACGGTAACAATACAAATTATTACATATATAACAATCATTGAACAAAATGTAAGACAGCAGTATCATTAAGTCAAATAATTCGTGTAGTTGTATTCGGTATTTAAAAAATAAAAATATTCTTCTGAAAAATTTGCAAAACATGACCGGAAAATTTTCCCCTTTGTATGTAATATATAAATACGTGTTCAGTTGCGCAACATCAGGTTACCGAACGAATAAAATGTTCTATATTAGGAATAATTTTATGCTGAAAGAATAATATTGTTAATTAATAAATTACATTTTAAAACATTTGTGCACTTCCGAATTGTTGAAAACTTGTAGTCAATAAACATGAGCCGAATTATCTATTAAAAATGTAGTATTGAAAAAAAAAAAAAACATTTATTTTAATGTGTTGCAGTACAGAGTTGTTTGCGAATTATTGTATTTATTTCAGACGAATTTTCTTTTTCAAATACGCTATATTTAATTTGGCTACTAAACTACACGTCTTTCTGTAATGCAAAATTTAATTTTAATATACGGTAATCGAAATTAATTTAAAACACCCCGTATGGCGTATCACCCCCAAAGTTTGTACACAAAAAACCGAAGGTGGTGTGTGGGACTCATCAAAACATTAAGTACGTGGAATATCCAGAACATTATAACAACATATAGAGTGGGAACACAATTAACGAGTGTAACCACCTCGAAATATCACACATGAGTAATTCTTGCATGTAACCTATATTACAATGGTGAAAGTGAATCTGGGGTTCAGTATCCCACGGTCGTGGTACTATTTATAGCATCTGGACGATCTTCGTTCCCGGGATTGAGCTGGATGTTAGGTGACGTCCCATTATGTCCCAGACATACTCAACGGGGCTGAGATCTGGAGACCTTCTGGGATAGGGTAATGTGCATACATCGTGCAGATCATGCTTTGTTGCCCTAGCGACATGGTGACGCGAGATATGTGATGAAATAATGGTTCCTGTAGTGTATCGACATAACGTCAGAGGACACTATACGAAATCTCACGGATGTACAACGCACTTGTCATACTCTCCTGAATGTACACTATAGGCGATCGTTAGTTGTAGCTAATAACTCCTCATACCATATACTCATGTGTGGGTATGTTATGGCCAGTAGTAATTCACGAGAGATTGTTACTCTCCCGCACAAGTCAATGAAAGCGAAAGTGGCCAACGCTTTGTCCAAGGCAGGAACGAATCTGATTACTGATAACCCCAGCATGAGTAAACGTGCCAGAGGAATACGAGGACGTAAACTCACTTCCAATAATTGTTTGTTTATTGTTCGTGCAAACACATAGAGGGCGACAGTGAGTCTAATTGCACGTGCGGTTGCTGCTATGTTAGTCAGGGTAGCCCGAGCAATCCTACTCTCCAGACACACATCACTGAAGCGAGGTGGCACTGGTGGGGCGCGGCAACTGTGGGACCAATCCGTCACCTTATCTTCTCCACCACCGATGAACTACTGACATGTCGTTCCCCAAGTGAGTAGCAATTCTGCGGAACGCCCAGCAGCACTCTCGGAGTCTCACACTTACACGCTCAAAATCCCTTTCTGTTCTATTCTCGCTCGCCGTCGTCTTCCAGGCATAGGCCCCGCTCTCTGTGACACACACGCAATGGAATCTCACAGTCAACGCTAAACGCCAAACGCTAAAAACAAAGGAACCCGCACAACTTACAAATATTTCTCTTTGTTTCTGCGGGTTTATACGTGTAAATATTTCGGCCTCTGCCCCTACCATGGAATTGTGGCGAGCATTACAAAATTGATAGAGAGTAAATAAAAAATGTGGATGGTGGCAAAAAAAATTTTGAATATCTGGGAAGAATAAAAAAAAATGCCTCTTAGTTATTAAATGTTTGTGGCGTTCAGAGAATAGTCAATGTTATCCCTGTATCTATACCAGAAACTAAAATATCAGTGGAATTGTAATTATTAAGTGGAGCAGTTTTCGACTAGGTCTGCTGTGAAATACGCTGATATGTAGCAGATTTAACGAATTCAGATTTAAGGGCGTAATATTTATGTAGATTTTAGCATTTGAAAAGTACCTGCTAATATCTATGCACAGTGAGTTAATAGAACACAGCTGAGGCACTAAATATATACTGCCAACTCTTGGTACCTCTTACCCATCACTATATTCCACGGGAGACTTTTATTTTCTTCTATTGAAATTTTCCATGTGGCGACCTGCGCACTCGGGATAACGCCTCTATCCGTATGAGTATATTTTCCTTCCGTAAGGGAAACACACTATCCATGATCTTTGGAATTTTCATTCACAACGAGCACGAGTCAAGCATCACCTGACCTAGCGGACTCTGAAGGTCGTATTTGGTAACCGGATATAAGCCCTATCAGAGCCGCACCCTAGACTCACCCAGCTAAGGAAGGGCGGGTGGAAGATTGCTCGAGACCTACTTACAGGGCTTGCATGCAAGCAGAGATGAAAGATTCTTTGGAATATCCTGTCCAACAAGAAAAGGCAAAAGCATTTCTCAAGATTTTACTTTTGCAACTGTGTTTCAGGAACAATCCTCACTTACGACTTCGGCATTATGACATTAAGAACAGAGCATAATTGTTTTAGGTTTACGACCAGAACTATTGTGTTAAATAAACACAAAGGTTTACCACAATTTTCACGCAATTCTTCTTTAGAACCAGTTAACATATTCGTATTTAACTGTCTTATACTCTTTATCATATCAAAACAAAATAAAAATTTATCTTCATCCCTATTTCATATTGGCTAAATTTTTAATCTTGTACGGAACCTTCCATCGAAAATTACACGCAACAAGTTACAAACCGTACATGTGAACGGCCAGCAGATAGTCAATTATCCAATGAAGCATCCATACAAGCATGGCTACTTTTATTGAATCACACAAGGAATCTTCCATTGTGACATACAGGCTAAACAGATGGCGAGGTCATCCCGAGATCCTCCTTCTTAGTCATGATAAAACTCCGGTAAGCAGGAATACCCTCTACCAGCCAGGGAATCATGCCATGTTGCGTTATGCCACGCCGATATGAGAGAAATGCAGGGTGGTGGAAGGCGTCATTCTCTATGTGATGCCGGCCGAGATGGACGTCCCAAGACGCCTGCTGTGCCGACCGCCCTAAATTGGCATATTTCATTAGCCTTTGGCTACTTCTCAAGATGCGACATGTACCATATACTAACGTGGCTTTCAATAAGGTAGCTGATGTAGTCAAATTAAGAGTGCCCCCCGGCCATATAGTATTTTATTTAATGCCCGTATGTTTAAATATATAACTGTATTGTAACCTATAGTTCCTTATATTGATTTACTCCACTTGATCTACAATCACAAGATCCCATCTAAGTTATGAATCTTCATGTGAGGAGTTAGAAACTAATAATAATCATAACAATGGCCTGCCATCAGATCAACGCCATCACGAGTGCCTGTGATTGAAGTTCAGCCTGGTAGGCATAGACTACTTTTAGCAATACATGGCATACGGATCTTCTGGGAGTTTCACACGTTTGCTGACAACATCCATGTGAGTCAAGCAGCAGTACCAAAATGAGGTATGAGTTTCCTGGGATTACCAGAGGCTACAGGCTTGCCCTTGACTTGTCTTTCCCACGGCTACGTCATCACTGTTATCTATATAATAGAGATGACAATACATCATATTCAATACTGATAAGCGGATTATCCTGCTCGCGGATCCACGACCATGCATACCGCAACCCACCAACACTCCACGGGAGTGTGTGATGGTGGGTAGTGACCATCCCTTTCAGTCTAGGTCACTGTCATCAGCCGATGGGGTGCTCCACTAATAAACGAGCATCCAAAATAAATTGAAAGATTTCCGCCGTGACTCACGAAGTTTCCCCTTATTTTTTATCTACTCTCGCTGCAATATTTGAGATTTAACTACTCAAATGAAAAATAACGAAATTGTGACTTTTCTAAAGCTCGTCCTAACAGTACGTTTGTTTAGTTTCAAGTTACATTGGTAAAACTTGTAACGAATTACGCTAGAAAGTTACATAAAATAATTTATTACAAAGTAAATCATTATTTTCGGTAAGTTATTATCCAACACTGGCAAACCTAATATTCACCTGTCTTCTTACACAACTTGCCATTTTTTCATAAAATAAAAACAAAGGGACCTGTAGAATATCAACAACACTAATTTATACATGTCAAATACACAGTGATTAATTATCTAGTCGACGCTAAAAAAACAGTGTGTTTCAATTATCTACACAAAGGTTCATAGCTGATAAACTCACTGTTCAATTAAGACAGATAACTGCAAACTATAACAATGCGTGATACATTCATTCTCCTATATGTGGTTCCATCGTGTAATGGTTAGCACTCTGGACTCTGAATCCAGTGATCCGAGTTCAAGTCTCGGTGTAACCTGCTGGCTTTTTCTTTCGTTGTGTAAACTAAGACGCTTAAAATGTGAACGATGATATCAGTTCTTTCAGGAATATGTCTGTATTACATCCATTTATAATTCAAAATATTAATTAATACTTAGAACACAGTTTCGTATGTTACTGTTGATTATTTAGATATTTTAAGGCCATCCAGCTTAGTACGGTAGTATTTATTAAGATGTGCTTATTATATAGCCAATTCGGAGAGAATATATATGTATATAGCATGTGTGAGCGTGTCACCAAATGAATATTGACACTCAAGTGTTATTAATATTAAATTTTTTTCAGCACTTATGTTAATCACTTCAGCACGTGAGTGTCCATGGAAAATCCTAGAGATTGAGACCCTCGCCAATGTGTATAATCCCGACATCAATTTTGAAATGTTCCATAATGTACAAAAATATTTTATTCTATTTAAAAAAAACTAAATCACATTATAGTACTTTAATTGGCAGTAAGATAACATCCGATTAATTTCGAAAAAAAAAAAAAAAATCTTTCTAGTTTATGTATTCCGAAAATAGAAAGAAAAAATAAGACAATTCTATAAATATTTAAAAATCTGGGATGGCCTATTTCATCCCATCGAGCGTTCTAAACGCAGTTTCCCTTTTCCTTCGTGACCGAATGTTTTACGACAAATCGTATCTAGAAGCGCAGCGCATGAGGCAAATTCCCCGTTCTCCCCTGCTTGAGGGTGGTCTGCTATCGGAGGTGATTTTCATCAAAGCTGTTCCAAAACACTTAGGCTAATAACTGTGCGTTCGTTCATTTGAACCTTCCCAATTCTGACACATTATCATAGAACACTGATTAGTGTGTGCTCATAAGGAGAAATAATGATCAATTATATTATAATCATGCAATATATAACATAGCGTTGAATTGGACATTCATTTTCCTACCGCACACTGACATCAAAGAACTTTATTAGAAATGCGAATCTAATTCACAAGCTTCTCTTTCAATTCAACTTAAATGGACACCCAGGCTGTTTTTGTTCTCAGTGATGCGTTGGTATATTGTATACGATGTATAACGAGTTGTTACTATAAATTTCTGATACTTGTATGCATGTTCGCTTCTGGACTATATACGTTTATTTTGTCTTGTATGCAGCATGTAACGGAGGTTTCGATTGCACCAAAATTGAATTTATGAGATAAGTAAATCTATTTTAAGAAGAGCACCTAAACCACGCCCGAGATTTACTCACCATTCTGTGTTGTACACTATTTTTTGCCACGACTAGCAGATATGTAGAAAATTAAAATATTTTGGCATATACCATCATAAAACAATAAAATCTATGGAACATGTATAATGTAAATTGTGGTTTACATCCCTCACTTTCAACGTCTTATAACTTTTATAATTCCAAACTTAATGCTATATTGCAAAAAAAAAAAAAAAACCTTAAGGTAAAATATATCAAAACTGTTAGCTATTTCTTTATTTTAACAAATCATATATATATAATATATATATAATATATATTAATTGTATATAATATGTATATATGATAAAATAATTATAACACCAGATGTTGTAGATAAGTATAATTAGAGCATATTTAATCTAGGAATCGATAGTTTAATCTCCATAGATACCATGCTAATGGCTGTAGCAATGTGCTGGGCCGGGTATGCGACTTTGAACCTTATGAAAATGGCTTTGTAAACCAGCCTGTGAGCAGTTGTGCATGCCTGATAAAGGCTGTTCAAGATAAGTTTGAGCACTTTGCCTTTGCTCCTGCCTGCATAATATTTTAACTGGCGCACTGGGTGGCATACGTCCAGTAAAGTAGGTAACAATGGATGGAAAATAGTTTCATATCTTAACGTCAAATTAAAAGGGATTGGTTACCATTTGTAACAACTTAAATTATTTATTTCGTATTGTACTTTTTTAAGTATCGAATATCGAAGTGTAAAAAAGAGCAGATTTATAAAACATTTACGTTTTGAATTAATTAATAGTTTTACTTAATCGACGCACTAATGAAGAGATGAGGCCCATGCCAGTGTTAATTTTACATACGGTGAAATAATACACATCGTGCATACAAGTAGATCTCAAGCAGGGTTTTCAAAAGTGAACTTTATCGTGAACAGTCTTTAAACATGACTCAGTACCGTACGGTCGCAGTCTCGGAGGTGTTACATATTTGCAGTTCCATAAGGACGTGTTACCGGAATGCTTGGCGGAAGTTCCTTTAGAAGATCGTGAGGCGATGTGGTTTCTGCAGGACGAGGTCCCGCCTCATTTCACCAATGCGGTTTACCGGCACCTCGAATCAAGGGGAACAGTTGATTTTTCGCGATACATGGCATAAAGGCACTCTTTTCTCATGTGCTGCAATTTTCGTCAGTAATATACAAAAAAAGTTATGCATTAGCACATTATAAGTATTTCACACATACTGCGAACGTATAAAGTTCGGTTGCTATTGCATGGGACATATGGCACACTAAACTAAAACATTTAACTGGACATTATTTTCAAAATGTGTCTCTGCCTCCTTAACTCATATAAATTTACGTGAAAAACAGAAGTAGAAGTTTTTGCCTGAATTTTGTGGGAATCATTCAAATGTTTCCCGATGAGGGACACAAAATATAAATTATTCATTTTGTGCACTCCTTTAAAATAGTGGACAAAAGAGATTATGTACTATCTCATTTGATGTTTGCATAAATACTGCTAGCATGCAGAGTTAGTTTGAAATTTGTGACGTTATTTAGTAGATATTTGTATAACATATTATTCTAAAACGTTTATTTAAAGAATTGTATGAAAGTGTATGTCTCTCTTAAAATACATATAAGTTCGCATGGCCTTCCAACTTTGGTAGCAATCGTTTAGCTCTTTCACAAAATAAGAAAAATAATTGTATTAAGTTATATGGGGCTATCTCTCAAAATGTCGAACATAAGATAATGTGTTTTGGGAAATATACTGCTTGTACCAGAAATTGTTAGCATATCAACTTAGGTTGACAAAAGTCAACCGGAATGGTGGATAGAATAACCGAAACTAAAGTGTTTATATTACTGCTATTTTGAAACGAACTGCATTACGACTTTTAAAATCACATACGTTTAAATGAATTATTGTAGTACTATTTCCAAGCCATTTTTTGCAGAAACTGTTGAAGTAGTTTCTGTAATATAAAAAAAGCTTTATTTTTCATGAAGGGCTATCTTCCAAAAAGGTAAACAATAACATATATAACTCCCTATATCCACTTCTTAAAAGATGCACTTTCAACGAATCAGATTAGGTTTAAATTGGTTAATATGGTTCCCGAGATATGACATAGAACTTTTAATTTTAAATTGTCGCCATTTTGTAAATGTCCACTCCATGTAGTCAAAAGCTATAAAAGTCAGTACCGAGTTAGGCGAAATTCAGTTAAAGTGTACAAATTGTTTTTAGGGAAGGTCATACATCCAGACAGACATTCGCATGGCTTCATGGGCGTATGTTTTCAAGGAAAGCACTTTAAAAACCAGCCATTTCCAGTCAGGTTGATAATCAGTTTCCATAAATTATAAATTATTAACATATTTGAGATTTATTCTCTGGCTCTACTCAAAACATATTTTCGACTGCCACAAAAGAAAGGAACATTTATCTGCAGTATTGCTAAGAATCTACACAGAATATCTGTAAGAAGTATGTACGATGATCAACATGATGACTGAAGGGAAGATTCATACTTTTGTTATACTGTATGTGGTTCCTGTTTGAGACCGTGAACTTACAGTGCTGAAAAAAAATATGTTTCAATTGAAATAACTATTCTGTGTCTTTACTAATGTGAAAAATTTTTCAGTCCCCGAAGTAGTTGCATAAATCGGGTGCATTTTTCCTGAAAATCTCTTTCGTCATGAATTGGACGATTAGAATAATTACATACACCTACAAATAATCGGCAGCATCACAAACGTTATTATGTTTCAAATATATCTTAATTATTCCACCGAAAGGGACGTTTATAATTAATAATAATAAGGTACGTTGAAAACCACAATTAAGGAAATTTTCAAAGTAAATGTGGATGCACTGAGAGGAACTAAGTACTGATATGAGCACGGAACTTCATCAAAAAAGGCGTATTTGAAAGGGCAATTGTAGCCAGTGATTTTGTCATGTGCTTATGTTGCATGAATGTACTATTTCCATTCACCGTAACCCTTTGCCTGTTATTGAAATGTCCTGCGTGCCACTTCGTAGCTGCCTTACAGCATGTTGAGCTAATTATAGACACACTTAAAGCCATTCGCACAAACGTAGACTCAAAATTTGCAACGATTTTCAAAACTGCACAAGATTTGCTTAGAGCTGTAGATGAGGAAATATCGGTTTAAAGAATTGTCTCACGACAGAAACACCGAGAAAATGTTAATGCAGGAGATCCAGAAACCTATTTTAGGATAACTATCATGATTCCTCTATTATATGACTTTATTGATCAGCTGGAATCAAGGTTAAGAACTCATAAATCTACAGTCACATCACTGTACGATTTGATTCCCTCTGTATGCAGCAAACATGAATGTAATTTCAAGGAAGATCTCTTTGAACTTTATCAGATATTTTTAGATTGGGACTCTTTAGAAGCCGAATTTCAAGTTTGGCAGACAAAGTGGTGACGACAGCCTGAAAGTGATTGTCCGTCTTGTGCTATCGAAGACCTCGGAGATTGTAATAAGGATCTCTTTCCAAATATCAATAAACTATTAGAAAATTTGGCTACACTACCAGTTTAGACTTCTACTCGTGAAAGGACATTCTCGATAATGAAACGTTTGTAAACGTATCTTTGAAAGTCGAAACTCCGCTAGCCAGGAATGGTTGACAGGCTTGGCATTAATGTCAATCCATCGGCGGATCAACATCAACACAGAGGAAGTTATAAACTTGTTTGCATCGAAGAAGACTCGAAGATTAAATTTACTGTTGTAGTAG